TTTTTTTTTTTTTTTTTTTTTTTTTTTTTTTTTTTTTTTTTTTTTTTACCTGAAGGTTGTCTTTGTCTTTTGATTGAAGGTGTCCCCGCAAGATTTGGAGGACACATTTCAGCCACCGTTCAAGAGCTGTGTGATCGATGGCAATGTGGCCAGTGTCATGTGTTCTTACAATCAAGTTAATGGCAAGCCAACTTGTGCTGATCCAGACCTCCTTGCTGGGGTTATCCGCGGCCAGTGGAAATTGAATGGGTATGTTTCTTTCTTTCTTTCTTTCCTTTGCCCTGAGTATCAGAACAAAGATGAACTCGTTACACATGGGTTAGCTTACAAATTGAGCTAGATAGAATAAGGAAACCACTCAATGGAAGACTAAATTTGTAGTTTTGGCTAATATGTTCCACTAACATAAGATAATTGCAGATACATAGTTTCAGATTGTGATTCAGTAGAAGTTCTTTACAACAAACAACACTATACCAAGACGCCCGAGGAGGCTGCAGCAATATCTATATCGGCAGGTAAATCATTTGCTACAACTAGTTTCAGGAAGAACTTAGTCAATTCCAGTGTTCTCATGTATTATACTTGAAAGAGAATGATTCAACGAGATTGGATTTACGTAACAGGGTTGGATCTTGACTGTGGCAACTTTCTTGGGGAACATACCGAAGCAGCGGTTACGGCAGGCCTGGTGAATGAGACGGCCATTGATAGGGCGGTTTCTAACAATGCTATGACATTGATGCGGTTAGGCTTCTTTGATGGCAATCCCAGCAAGCAGCTTTATGGAACGCTTGGTCCAAACGATGTTTGCACACCAGAGAATCAGGAGTTGGCTCGAGAGGCTGCAAGACAAGGCATAGTTTTGCTTAAGAATAGCCCAAAATCTCTGCCCTTATCTCCCTCTGCAATCAAATCATTGGCAGTAATTGGCCCCAATGCAAATGTCACAGACACCATGATTGGAAACTACGCAGGTAAACTTTTTTCTTAAATTTCGTCTTCAAATCTAGTCGCTAACTTGCTCTGCTCGTCAAAAAACGAAACCATGTTCTGACTTGGTTATCATTTTGCAGGCATACCGTGCAAATATACAACACCATTACAAGGCCTATCAGCAATAGTATCCACCTCATATCAGCCTGGCTGCATCGATGTGGCTTGCGTCTCTGCCCAGCTAGATGAAGCAAAGAAGATAGCAGCATCAGCAGATGCCACAGTTCTCGTAGTAGGAACAAATCAATCGATTGAAGCCGAGAGTCGAGACAGAGTCGACCTGAATCTTCCAGGGCAGCAGGCACTTCTAATCACAGAAGTGGCAAAAGCATCAAAAGGACCTGTGATTCTTGTCATAATGACTGGTGGAGGCATGGATGTAATATTTGCCAAAAACGATGACAAAATTACAAGCATCTTATGGGTTGGTTTCCCTGGCGAAGCTGGGGGTGCTGCCATAACCGATGTAATTTTTGGGTCCTTCAATCCAAGTAAGTTTATCTACTTCTCAACCATAGAATTCACTCTATTTCAACTAACTACCATGAAAACAATTAAACTACTGTACTTAAGAAGAACATAATTTTCAAAAACTCATTGAGGCATTTCATCGAACAGGTGGTAGACTACCCATGACCTGGTACCCACAATCATACGTAGAGAAGGTCCCAATGACAGACATGAGAATGAGACCAGATGCATCTACTGGATATCCAGGAAGAACATACAGATTCTACAAAGGAGAAACAGTATACTCCTTTGGGGACGGATTGAGTTACACAGATTTCAAACATCACCTTGTACAAGCCCCAAAGATGGTATCGATCCCCTTGGAAGAAGGCCACATTTGCCGCTCGTCAAAATGCTATTCGCTAGACGTTGTCCAAGAGAGCTGCCAAAACCTGGGATTCGAGGTTCATCTAAGAGTGAAGAATCTCGGACAGAGATCAGGAAGTCACACAGTTTTTCTCTATTCATCACCGCCTTCGGTACACAATTCGCCTCAGAAACACCTTCTGGGCTTCGAAAAGGTATCTCTCGGAGCCGGCGGAGAAACGGTGGTTCAATTCAAAGTGGACGTATGTAAGGATTTGAGTGTTGCCGACGAAACCGGAAGCCGGAAAGTTGCATTGGGTCTTCATGTTCTTCATGTAGGAACATTGAAACACTCGTTGAACATCGGGGTTTGAATCGGAGTGCCGTTTAGCTCTTCCACCGCCGCCGCTCCGGGTGGATGATGCTGAATCGTTGCTGTTATGCATTATGGTAGGAGGGGAAATCAGAATTGTAAAATAATTTGAGAGAGTTGAAAGAATTTTCTCAATTCTTATATAAAAATACACAGAATTTGAGGGAAAAAAATGATGAAAATTCCGTCTCACTATCGGATTGATTTGCTAATGAATGCTCGACTGGGCCACCTCGAATGCGTGAGTTGCATGCGGGGAGACCCACACGTACGACTTTTAAAGAGATCCGGTCGAAAGACCGGTCGGCGCCCACCCGACTATAGAGACTGAGAAATTAATAGAGTACAAAATTTATCTTTAAACTTTACCTTATTCTGATCGTTCAGAGGGCAATCGTAGAATTACTGAATGAAGTCCTCCGTTTCTTTCGGAAGTGCTAACTCGTAACTGATTTGAACGTAACGGAGGTTTTAGGGGCCATTTCCCAGAGCTTTTGTCTTGATTGAGGGGCATCCCGAGGAGTGCGTAAATGAGTGCGAAACTCTATAAATGATTCCTTTTCTCAAAAACTATATAAAAGACTTTGATTATATATTTCACCTTTGATTTTTCTTTGTTAAAATATTTGAAATTTAAATCTAATTATATAATACCTTAATTAATAAAAAAATACCTCTTTTAATTTCGAAAATACTTTTACTAAAAGAAAATATTAATATTTCTTTCAAAAATATTTTTAAATGTTTTTAAATAGTTTGAGCTTTCAAATTTTCATTAATATTCTTAAAAAGAAATTAATTTCAAAGTTTAATATTTTAAGGATATTTTTTAAATTTTTAAAAGAATTACTTTTTAAAATATAAAGGTATTTTTTAATATGGTTATTTTTTAAAACTCAAATATGTTATAAAATTTTTAAAAAGTTAAAAAAGTATATTTTAGAAAAAAATAAAAATATATATTTTTATTAATTTAACCTTATATAATTATATTAATATTGTAAAAATATTTTAATTGTAATATAGGCGGGATTTTGAATAATTTTGAAGTCAAAATTTTATAATTTAATAAATAAATAACCATACAAAAAATCCATGAGAGTTTATGGTCAAAGTGGACAATATCTTACCATTGGAGATTCGTGATTCCTAATATTGTATCAGAGTCATGCCCTAAACTTAACATGTCTATAGAATCCTCAAATATCGAACGAAGAATTGTGAGCCTCGATTAAGCCATTGAAATGATGTCTGCCTTTCGGGGAAGCTCAGGAAGCTGTTCGAGTACTATCTCCATTGTTCGAGTACTATCTCCATTGAAATGATGTCTACCTTTTGGGGAAACTCAGGAAGTTGTTCGAGTACTATCTCCATTGGAATGATGCCTTTTGGAGAAGTCCAAAGCAAAACTCCACCACCTCAAAGTAGATAATATCATACCATTGTGGAGATCTTAATATTTCAGCAACATTTGAAGTGAGGAATTCGAACACATGATCTCTTAATCTAAAATATATGTCAATTACCACTAAACTATATAGACCGTTCAAATCATCACCTCATTAAAATTGTAATATTAAAAAATAGCGTGTGTGCTCGATTTAGAGGTTCAACTAACATGAGTGTGATGTTTATAATTAATAAAATTTATTGAAGGCTCGAGAGAGTTAACTAACACTAACGTCATGTTCATGTTTGATGTTCGTGAAGAAATTTATATTATAATATAATTTAAAGAAGTTACGACAAAAAGATCTTATTTGATAAACATTTAATTTTTATAAATTAAGTCTATTTTTCGAGTTGAATTTCATTTTTTTCTTAGAAAAATTCTAAAAATAAATATAAAATTCAGATAATTATTGAGACAAAATTATAATATTTGTAATTTGTATGGACTTTAACCAATTAAAATTCAATCAACCCTGCCTCTACTTAGGGTCAAAGTCTTTCAATATAGCGTCACATTCTATATTATCTAAGTTCCTAATTAATATGACCCATATGTCTTGACGTCATCCTAAGTTATGGGGTGTCGTCGGCCATAGCAGCTCACTCAGTCATGTCATCGAGAACGGGCCTACATGTCGTTCATAATATTAAGACATCTCAAATATCCATTCATCTAGATTTTATCGAGCCATTAGTCCCTTACGTGTCCATGTCATATTGCTTATGGATTCTATACCAAATAATGGGTGTATGATCCAACTTCCGACGCATGAGTTGGAGCGCAATGTTGGCACACCTATTCCATCTGATATTGTACTTGAAAAATTCATTTCAAAGGAAATCACCTGAGACTCTTGTCTCGTAATGCTCGCTCTCACTATGACTCATGTATGTGCCACAAGTTAACTCGTTTAGGCCCCAGAGCCTAAGGGTGGTGGAGAACTGACCATACCTATGCCAGAGGTAGTGTAGATATGATCTTAGCAAACAGTCATATGGTGCAGTGGAGCGTCCGTCCAATATTCAATTAACACCAAATTTGGCGAGCTTCCGTATTACATATGGATGGACTTGACTCCAAAATCACATACCCAAATTTGCTTTAAAACCCCGACTTTCATGGTTAAGGCTCGGGGCCCTACCCAACCCTTCAGCATGTCTATCTTTGACACTCTTGTCTACTCATCACCTCCTTTTTTACCTATGCCTCGACTTGACTTCAATGTACACCTTATATGGTGTGTTCGATGATGCACCTTCCTCCTCGGTACTCACGTGGGCGGTTGGTTGGTTGGGCGCCACTTGGTGTTGCTACCTTGTCATGAGTGCACGTGAATGTCACAACCTATTCTTCGTACCTACTCGATCTTTGCAAATTCTTCGCCGGGTAGAGAGTCCATAAAAACTTGAATATGGGCCGAGTCCATAAAGTTTTTGAATATGGGCCGAGTCCACTAAAACGGCCCACTGTGACGATTAATAAATCACTGCAGCAGCGAAGGTCTTCAATTTGTTGACTGGCTCTTTGCCCTACAACCAGTTTAACCATCCCACCATCACTACCGCCTTTGGTTCCTCTCGAAAGTGAATCGAATTCTAGGGCTTTCGTTCTTCGGAAATTGTTGGCTCAATTTTGCTGGTAACATTTTTTTTCCTTCTCTCTGTTAACATTTAATGATTTTGTTAATTCAATATGCTCGAGAAAAGTATTGAAATTATACATGTTTAATTCCGTAATCGGCTGAATTTTGGTATTTGATTCTTCCGATCGAGAAAGTTCTTAAGTATTTTTCTTCTGTTGAGTTAATTGCGTTTTCTTTTAATTTTCTTGATGCTGGATTTCCTAGAATTATTCGCACTCTTTTCATTATGTGGTTCTTCGATGTAGCTCGTGTAATGGCTGAAGAGGGGGAGTATCGGTGCTTTATTGGCGGTCTTTCATGGTCAACTAGTGACAGAGGTCTTAAAGAAGCATTCGAAAAGTTTGGCCATCTTCAAGAGGCCAAGGTATCTGATTTGTTTTTTTCCTATTTTAGCTGATTTTTCTGTTTAATTTTGAAATAGATGTTGCTTGCCATTGGGTCTTTCTATTTTGTCATATCTCCCTCGAAATGAAAAGGTGAAAAGAACTCCTTGAATTATGATTCTTCTATACACACTTAATGGCTATTGATCGATGTTTAGAAATAGAAGTGTGAGAAATGTGAGGTTGGTGCTTGTTGCATTTGATGATATTGGATGATAGTGTAAGGTCTCTTCTGCTTAAGGATGTTCCAGTCACCCTTAGCATTTTTTGATGATGCAAAATCTATTTTGCAGGTAGTTGTTGACAAGTTTTCTGGACGTTCCCGTGGTTTTGGCTTTGTTACTTTTGATGAGAAAAAAGCTATGGATGAGGCAATCAAAGCCATGAATGGAATGGATTTAGATGGCCGGGCTATTACAGTTGATAAGGCTCAGCCTAACCAAGGTTCAGGTAGAGACAACGATGGTGATCGTCCACGTGGTCGTGACCATGATCGTGATCGAAATCGAGATTTTGGTGGTGGGCGTGGATCTAACAGTAGAGATTGCTTTAAATGTGGGAAGCCAGGGCATTTTGCCCGGGAATGTCCCAGTGAAGGCGGTAGAGGAGGTAGGTATGGAGGAAGGGATGACAAATATAGTGGTGGTGGCAGCGGCGGTGGCAGTGGTCGTTATGGACCAGATCGAAATGGAGATAGATCTGGTGGGCGCAATAGGGATACTGGTGATCGAGGAGGTTCGGGAAGTGATCGATACAGTCGCGACCGCTCTGGGCCATATGAACGACGAAGTTCAGGTTCTGGTGGCTTTCGTTCTTGATAGAATTGTGTCTTCTCTGTTAAGGTGTGTAATTCATCTTAACTCGACTGGTTGATTCATTATGGCTGCCTTGTACTGATGACTTGAATTTATCTCCACATTAAATGCAGCTTACATGGAGGGATCTTGCTGTTATGTCCTGCAGAGTGTTAATGTTTCTTTCAACAGGTTGTCTATGTTACAGTTCAGATATCTGAAGTGCAGAACTTGGTGTTAGTATTGAGACATTTGTGTTCCTATGTGATGAATTTGGTATCTTGGTACAATGGTGTCTAATGTGTTCTTGACATATTCATTCAAATCTGGTTTTATGGTCTTTGAATGCCAATGTAGCTGCTGGATTACTTATCACAGGGAAATTGCAATAACTGCTAAAAATTTCTATTAAAGTACAACTAGACCTGGTTTTTGATCTGGATGGGTATTGAGAGGATCGGGTTTTTGATAAGCTGCGACTAGTGATCTGTGTCCCGACCTGGAAAGTTGGAAGTGAAATCTCCATTTCAGGATGTTCTTCCCATTGTCTTGGAGGAATTTACAGGTAATAACTTTTTTCTGGTGCCTTCTACTAGAATGATGACCTATCTATCTATCACCTGTTGTGTTATATTGATGGTGTAAACTTTTTGGCAGCATCGTTCCTTTTTATGATCTTTTTGGGTGCATAATACCGTTTCTTGCTAACTTAAAACATACCAAAGCCTTTGGGATGCTCAAGCAATTTTGCAAATAAAATCATTTAATCTACAAATACGTCCTGCTGGCTTATGGTCGAGTGGTCTCGTACACGCTAAAATGCTCGGCAAGTTGTTTGGAAGCTCTTGAGAGTTCGGCAACTGCTGCCCTATCTTTTCCACTTGTGAG